TATATATATATATATATATATATGCATTTAAGATTGATGGAACAGTACTATATGAAAGAGAGAAAGAGCAGGGAAAAAAAGAGAAGAAACATCAGGGCAGGAGCACAATGCTCATGGGCACTTTGGCATCTTAAATAAATGATAGCCTCAACCAAAGACGTGTCATCCTTACAGTGTAAATACGCTTGTTGTGTGTCCCGACAGTTCGGGACTATCTGCTCTTTTCTGCTTCACAGAACAAGGGCCACGCATTGCCAGGCATGACTTACCATCGGTATATGTGTATATTTGTGTTTATGTGCATGAGTGAGTCACAGAAAACAGTAAACCATTTTAAAATTGAAAAAAAAAACATACACACAGATAAGTTGCTGGCACAGGGATACCTAAAGAGAGATCCCCTTCTGCGTGGTGTAAGTCCTGTTTGTGGTTCTTGTGCTGTACTGATGAAGCCACACACCTTGCATTACTACACGGGTTAGCACAGTGTCCGGATCAGTGCAGGCCTTTGGCACCATGTAAACATTAGTTTGTTTAGTTAGCACTCAGATATCCCACAGCTCTTTGGGATTGGCAAATGGGCGCAGGCTGAGAAGGTTGTCTTGAAACTCTTCTCGTAGCCCCGTCGTCTGTCCATGGATTCACCTGCCCTGAAAAATTTAAGAAGGGTGTTACATCATCTAGAGACAGATCGATAGAAAGCTGAAACATCAAATGCAAAGATCAAAAATGTTTTCAAATGTAGTTCCCTTTAACACACTGGACAACAGGCAGTTTTAAGTAATAAACCTGTATGATTTTCTTTCCTTTCGTGGAGCTCAAATGTCTTCTGAAGACTGTCAGGAACATACAGGAAGTCGTTTTTGCTGAATATCTTCCTGTTTTAGCTGATTTTCCTGATTTCTGTGTGCTGGGTGCATCACGTAAGATTTGAAATTAATTATGTCCAACATCATTGGTTCTTAAGTGTATCGTAGCCAATTGAGATGTGCTTGAAAGAGAAATAATTAAATTGAGAATTAAACAATGACTTTTCGGCCTGGTTTTCACACAAATCATATCATACGGCTTCACAAGACTTTGAATACAGTGCATGAGTCATACGGACCATGTTTTTATAGTACATTTATAGTGCTTTTTATAGCAGTATAAATCACCATTCACTTACAGATTCTGCTAAACTTCTATCGTGTTTCATGAATGAAAATGCATACAGGTTTGAAATGTCACAAGGTGAAATACTCCTTATATAAGCTTATATAATTCATAAATAATGAAACTATAAGCAAACCTGCACAATTATAGGCCTCTGAGTTTTGTATCAGGTTCCTCATGGACCTGGCTCAGATGGGAAGACGTTCCTCAGCTGTTCGATTACCTGCTGCAGCTGCAGTACGGTGTCCTGCTCGTAATCCAAATACTCACCTACACAACATTAAATGCTACAATAAACATGATCTCAACTAAACGCATCGCAAGTTTACAGCAACATACTGTATAAGCCTCATTCAAACAAGTCACATCCATTTGAATCCCATTATTACCTGCAGCTTCTGTGTCTGTGGTCTCTCTGCTGGGAGGCTCCCCCTGGTGGTCACTCCCTGACAGAGGAGAGGACAGAGAGGAAGGAGCCGAGCCATTGGCCTCCGAGTCATCTTTGGGCTGGTAGACATAACAAAATCATGAGAGAGCAAGAAAGCAATCAAATCCTAATCAACACAGTTCAGAACAGAATCCAGCCGCATTGCTCTATCATTTCTGCAGTATGAACATGACCGTTCAAAAGTGTGGGGTTAGTATAATTGTGTTTTTATTCAGCAAGGAAGCATTAAATTGATCAAAAAAGACAGTGCAGATATTTATAATGCTATTTCATGCTATAATTCTATTTCAAATAAATGCTGTTTTCTAACTATTATATTCATTAGAGTTTCCACAAAAATATCAAGCCACACAACTGTATTCAACATTCATAATAATAATAAATGTTTCTTGAGCAGCAATTCAGCATATTAGAATGATTTCTGAAGTATAACTGACACTGAGGACTGGAGTAATGGCTGCTGAAAATTCAGCTTTACCATCACAGGAATAAAAATATATATATTCAAATAGAAAAGAGTTATATAAATTGTAATAATATTGTACAGTATTACTGTTCTTATTGTATTTTTTATATAAATGCTGCCTTGGTGAAAATAAGAGACTTATTTCAAAAACATTAAAAAATAATCTTCCAAACCCCTTTTGAACAATATTACATAGTTATTTTTCTAAATCTCATTTCATTTTTATATTTCATTTTATACAATTTTAAATAAAATAAATATTGTACAAATATTGTATTACTGCACATAGCATTACATATACTGTACAAAGCATGTGTATACCCACAGATGTTCATAACTGTATACTAATAAATAGTATAGGCAATAGGCTACAATAGGCTACTGTTCAGTATGCAGTTTACTAGCCTAGCAAAATACTATTGTTGGGTTCTTTGATGAGAAAAACAAGTTTTCAAATGCTGTCAAAACACCAAACTTCTGTGTTTATCGAGCAGGGATTTGGCCCCTTTTCCATACATTACAAAAATGGTGTATTTACGAATCTGATACGATAAACTGATACGAATCAAGAGAACACTCGCTTTTTTGAGAGAGGGATTTGAGTTGATTGAGGCTGTTTGCATGAATACCTCAAATTTATTCCAAGTTAAACTCTTTTATCGCCTTGTAGAGATGTCCACAGAGGTAAGACTGTAACTTTCCCAGCGACTTTCTAAGGGTGCAGAACGAAGAGTTCAGATCTCCACAATCCCTGCACATTATTGCTTCCCCATGACACATCTCTCGCTCGTTTTTATAGGTTAAGTCGATCTCTTTCCCCCTGTTCCTTCCCTCTATTTCCATCTAATTCCTTTTCACCTACAGCTACAGCCTCTGTGTTTTTGCTCCGCTCTCTCATTCATCCAGCCTGCCAATCATACCTCTGCAGCACTACCTCTCTTTTTTCTGCACAACCACCTCTTATCCCATTCACTCAGCACTGCCTGAGCTTTTCTTTTCCCTCCTCGGCCTGCTTTCTGTCTTTCTTTGACTAAAAAAAAGGATCCTTTTTCTGCCCACTCTATTCTGTCATCTCGCTCCTTAAAGTCGGCATGAAACGGAAGTTGCGATTGTCTGTTCTTCTCTACTGTGACGTATATCGGCATGAAACGGCATCTGAAATGAGAGGGTGGGACTTGATTTCGTCCTTCGGGAATTTATTGGATCATTGGAAGTTGGGGCGTTGCTAACAAAATGGAGGCAGATTTGAATGCCAGTTTGCAGTTAGTGGTGGGGGATTTCTCTCCACTGGATTCACAGCCGACACCCAAGCATGAATAAATGTTTTATTTATTAAGGATGACGACGACGATCAACGGCACAAAACATGCCTAAATAGCACGCGCACGCACGAGAGAGAGAGAGAGAGAGAGAGAGACTGCCTGAATGACTGAGCACGTCCTCCGTCAGGTTAAGCCATATTCAAGAAAGAAAATTAATTTGCGATGTTCTAAGAGTAATGTTGTCGTAATATCCTAATATCTTTTCAATGTTTAGGGGTACCGTACTCCCTCATGACTGGTGTCAGTGCTATAAAGTGAAGCTTTTCCCCCTGTCGTTTATCCCAGCGTTTACCCCTCACGTCACTAGCTCCGCCCTTGCGCCATAGCTCGTGACCGGAAGAGAAGATGAGTCGTTTTGAGGGGGAGGTTAACGTTTTTGATTAAAGATTACGAGGGAACATGAATTTTTAAAAAAATAATGAAGTGCACGGATAAAATATTTATAATAAACACTACAGTATTCCATTAAAAAATAAGAATTTTCCATTTTGATTTCATGGTGACTTTAAGCTCCATGTACATCAGTTCAAGAAATGACTTCCCTTCTACCCACTCCATCTATATGATTCTATCTCCATCAATGGTGTTCTTCCCCATATATAATCTCTCTCTAAGTCTTCCTTCCCATCTTTGCAATTTACCAGAAGCAATTCACCAGAATGTAGTGTGCTTTCCTGCACTCTCTCGTCCTCCATCTCTTTTCAGGTATCAATAATAGTGACTTTTAAAAAAAAAAATCATTTCTGTTTTCACATCTCTTCTCCTATCACCTGAGACAAGTCTTTTCTAGATCCTCGTCTCCTAGTCCTTACTGAACCTGCATTAGTAAGCATCTCTTGCCTGACTTTTACCCTTCTACATATGATACAGTCTATGATACAGACTATCGCCGTGTGGTTTGAGTTTGAGCACCGTCAAGTTAATTCTTTGTCGTCTAATTTTTTATCTTAAAATCAATTATATACACCATCCTTTTTCAGTTCTATAATGTGTGAATATATCCCCTATCGTATTCTACAACAAAAACAATCAGAGCGCCTTGTTATCACTAGTTCTATTTTTGACTTTCAGAGTCCGCTATTAGCATATAGCCTGCTAACATCGCCAGCGTGGTAGCAGCTAATCTTGCTTACACTAATACTCTATTCACACACATTACCATTGTTTAACAATTGCTGTTAATATTATTCATCATCTGTTTTATTACGTCTTAAATTGATTTTTCCGTACTGCTGGTTCGTCTGGTCAGAGGAGAACTGGCCCCCCGACTGAGCCTGGTTTCTCCCAAGGTGTTTTCTCCATTCTGTCACCGATGGAGTTTTGGTTCCTTGCCGCTGTCGCCTCTGGCTTGCTTAGTTGGGGACACTTCATTTCCAGCGATATCGTTGACATGATTGCAAAGATATAATTTAAACTGAGCTGGATGTTGACATCACTGAATTCAATGATGAACTGTCTTTAACTGAAAAATTTGTGTTTACTATTGTCATTTTGCATTATTGACACTATTTTCCTAATTAATGCTGTTCAGTTGCTTTGACACAATCTGTATTGTTAAAAGCGCTATATAAATAAAGGTGACTTGACTTCAGTCGCATCCCTACTCTTTTTGCAGAGAGCTTCAAATACATCGTCTTCCTCCCAATACCTCCCTTTCCAGTATATTTTGTAAGCAAGCCTATCTTTGTTTCTCTCATAGTGGCTGTTTTTAAATCTCAAAACATTCCTTCAAGCCCATAAACATTCAACGTTAAACTCACCAGTGCAGAAGGCCCTGATTTACCTGTTCATGTCCCTCCCTGTACAGTGGTAACATATTCATACAACTCCCTACGCACCATTCCTTCACTGTTTCTATCATAATAATCTATTCTGGCTAACACTTTAGTACTCACTGTGGGCATACCGCTCCTTTTTTTTGTATACAGGCATATGTTTATATCTCATAAATCTTACCTGCAGCAGTAGTTCTCTGAGTCTGCATAGCTGGGACTCCAGTTGCTTGTTGTGGTCCTCCAGAATCTGCATTCGCGTCTCCAGGCGAGTCTTGTGCTGTCGAAGGATTCGAGCCTCGGCTAAGAGCTCCTCATCCTGCTGACCGGCCGGTGAACCTGGACCTGACTCCAGCAGCTGGGGTGATGCTGCTGCCTCTTCGTGCTTCCACTTCAGCCGCCGATACTCGCCCTGCAGCACACTACAGGAAAGACAACACCATCATCATCACTATTGCTTTCTTGGCATCATCATCATTTAGGTCATTATGCATGCAACATCTAGACAAAAGTTGTTACTTTAAACAAATGTGATACAATCATGTTACTTTACTCAATTTAGAATTCTCTCATACTCAGCCTATACAAATTCATTTTGTATCTTAAAGGGATAGTTCACCCAAAAATGAAAATTTGATGTTTATCTGCTTACCCCCAGGGCATCCAAGATGTAGGTGACTTTGTTTCTTTGAGTTTTGTCTGTGTATGTTTTTTTTACTCTCAAAGCTGTGGAGACCACTCACTGCCATTATATGACTGACAGACTGCAACGGTTTGAGTTAAAAATCTTCTACTGAAGAAACAGAGTCACTTACATCTTGGATGCCCTGGGGGTAAGCAGATAAACATCAAATTTACTATGAACTATCCCTTTAAACAGAAAAGTTTTTTATCCTTCTAAATTTCATTTAATTTTTAAATGTTCTCTTATTTTAGATAAATATAAATTTCATATAAATATTTATTATAAAATATTTAAATGTATCTTTAAATACCTTAAATATTAAATATATAAATATTTAAATAATTACTATGTAAATAATTACTAAAATAATTGAATGTAATAATTATAAATAATTTGATAATATATATAATTATTTATTTGTTTTATTTTATTATATACAGTATACACACACACACACACATATTCTTGTTGAGAAATTGTTATTATAACCCAGTAAAATAAAATAAAATTGAATGAATAAAGACAAAAGAAATAACACAAAATGGGTGTTTAACAGAGCAGCCATCACTCAGCTCTTTCTATCCCAATAATGACAGGGGGAAGCCCTGATTTATTCAGGAGGTTAAGGCTGCAGATCCCCTGCAGACACTAACAATTAATCTTGCTTTATTGACCTATTACTCACCTATAACAAAGCAAGACCACATGAGAGAATGACTTAAAGGTCAGGATTTACGCTGAAGACAAAACTCATAAATGACTCACAGCTGTAACAATAGCCTTTGGGATGAAATGAAATGGTAGACCAAATACACTTTTTTTGTGTTTCTGCTGATGTTTGAAGCTGTTTTAAGGTCTAAAGAGCACACCTCGTTCATTTGACGCAGGTCAAAAGATCACTGTTTTTGACCCACACTAACCATCATAACCGTACTATTGTCCACCGTTTCCCAGCAACACATTTTATCTCAGCCAATTTAAAAGTATTAGCTCTATCTTAATCCTCTGAAAAGCTGTGAAATTTAAAGTGCCAACACAAAGTGCAGTCAATCACAGTCAGAAACTGAAAGTCAAAAAGTTACAAAGACAAATCATTTTACCCCCAAATATTTAAAACTAGTTCAGCATAACCCTCAGTGAAACCATTTAATAGTTTTATTTCTCTACAAAATGATTTCAGTATTTATAAACATCCTTAAAACACGATGCATTTACTTAAAAAACAAATGTGCACAACATAATAACATTATTAAATTATAACTTTATCAAATATAATTTAATTGATTATTATAACCTTTTTATTATATTTATAATGCATAATATGTAGTTTTGTTGTCTGGTGGACAATACAACAAGCAACAACAACAAAAAACAGCAAAGAAGCTTTAATTTGCCTATTTGCAGTGAGATTTACTAAATTGTGCGTTTAACTTGAATCATGCCCAACAGATGTCTGTTTTAAAGCGTCTGTTTGTAATTCATTCCTTGATTTGCTTAACAAACGCCTACATTGAGACTGCATTGACAAACATGTTTATAGTGTATTATTTTCAGCATGTTTATTGCTAAGTTTAGCACAGCAATAATTAATGTTATGTATCTGGTTGCCATGACTTGCTTGCTGCTGATCTAATCATAGTAAAATCAGTTTAATATGGAGTTACACAGAGTGTGAATTTTTAGGTTAACAACAGAAACACTATGGCCTGGTTTCACAGACAGGGCTTAGATTAAGCCAGGATTAGGTCGCAGTTCAATTAGGACATTTAAGTATCTTTTATAAGTGTACCTTAGAAAAAAACATTACTGCTGAGCATCTTGGGACAAATCAATAAAACTGACATCTTTTAAGATATGTCAGTGCATATGAATGCGTTTAAAATTGTGACTGAACAAATTGACTCTGTTTGGACCCCCACCCCCCACATCAAATGTCAAGCTACGCCCATGCTTAACATTCTAAAATAGTTGTTGTTTTTGTTGTTTTTTACTTCATGAAACAAATAAAAAAGAAATTCTGAAGATTGTTTATTATGCTCTTTTTGTGAAATGTGGGATTGGAGTTTTCAAACTTCAAAAAGGACACAAAACAGAATCAAATGGTCAAAAATTGTCAATATTTTAATTTTTTATATATATTTATTTGATTTTATCTTATTTCATGTTTATTTTTAATTAAAATGACTTAATTTCATGAAAACTTTTAATATTATGCTTAGCTCAATTTAATATATTTATAATATGTAGTTTTATAAACTACATATTTTTGGTATTATTATTATTAGTAGTATTATTGATTTATAATATATTATTTTATGCTACAATTCTTCCCAATAACTAATTCTCTTCGGGTCATGAGTTTGACTGTGAATTATTCTTTTTAGTTTAATCTTTTTAAAGAATCTGGTCACAATTAACAGTTGCGATGAATATTTTTAGTGAGTAACAACATACATTTTTGTGTGTTCCTCACACAAGGTTATTGTATGGCTTCATATAATACAATTACTTGGAATACAGTGCATGAGTCAGGTGAACCACTTTTATTACGGTTTAATGGCCCTTTTGCATCGCTTTTTAAAGCTGGATAACTTATTGTAATTGCTTTGAAAAGAGATTCTTTTGTGTTCCATGGAAGAAAGAAAATCATAAAGCTTTGGAACGACATGAGGACAAGTTCATTTTTGGGTGAACTATTCCTTTAAATGCCCTTCTTTCTCTCACTCGTGCACAAACACAGAGCCATTTCCAGCACAAAACATGTGCAGCCATGACTCTGGGCTGTGATGATCTGACCTCTTCTATTAGTTTTGATTTTCTGAGGGCTCACCTAATTTCCCATATATAGGCTCATATTTCAGTGGCTTTCACATGTCCGCTGGGCCTGTAGCTCTTAACATCTTGTTCGGTAGCATTTCAATAGCCTAACTAACTAACTCTCTCTCTCTTTCTCCTGTCAGCATCCAAGCCTGCTCTATTCATCCCTACTGTTGAGCTCCTTAATCACACAGACTTAATACAACGGAGGGTGAACGAGCACATTGCCATGGGTCGTTTTCATTATCTTTTTTAATTAATGTGACTGCCCAGCCACACCAAACATGAAGGCATGCATGCATGGCCATGCGCACATCTACACACCCATGCATGAGGACAGATTCGAGTGTGTGTGGGAGGTGGTGTACTCACAAACTTTCATCCGGAGAGAGACTGTCGGTGAAAAAGGAACAGTTCTGGTTCTCCATTTCTGCCAACCTGAAAAGAACAAGCAAGTGAAATGAAAATGTCATATTACAGAACATGGGTCAAAACATATAGAAAGGCATACAAAGGCAAAGTCACCATGCACTGTAATTTGTTTGTGGACAGTGGCTTCAAATGCAAGATGCGGAAGAACGGAATAGCACACGTTTGGCAGAGGAAAAGAAGATGACAGCTGTGACTCAAGACATCTCAGTGACTGCATAGGAGACACCTTAGAGCAGTTACTCCAACCTAAAAATCACATGCTGTTATCCTACCCTGACTTTTCAGATACCGTGCGCGACTAACCTGGGTGGCAAATTGTCATGCAACTGCCGAAGCTGTGCCTCGCGGCTTCACCCTCTTCTTTCTCTCTCCATGACAAAGCCAGGGGAGAATCTGTTCCCCTTTCACTTCATTTGTCACACGAATTTTTATTACATAAACACCTCTCCTAGGTACTTTCACCCAAACACCTCGCAAGTTTGCATTCCTTGCCACAAGTGGCATGGTAAAAACAGAATATGAAAAAGATCTTCATCATGCATTACAGATTACATGGCATACAACTGACATGCCATTGCCCGAAGGTATACAGTATGAATGCTTTACGGTCCACTGCAGCTTTAGTCCTCGTGTCAACCTAAAGCCAAATCAAAGCTAAAATGAGCAATTTCTATGTATCTAGCTGCACCAAACGCTATTGCAAAAGTATTGAAAATATTTTCTATATAGGCAATTGTAGAGCTCCTATCAACTTGAATGGAGAAAGAATGAAATCAAGCTTACATTTCAACAACATACACTAACGTTCAAAATTTGGGTTCGTTAAGATGTTTTAATGTTTCTGAACAAAGTGTCTTATATGCTCACCAAGGCTGCATTTATTTGATCAAAAATACAGTAAGAACAGTAATATTGTGAAATATTATTACATTTTAAAGTAACTGGTTTCTATTTGAATATATTTAATAAAACAATTTATTCCTGTAATGGCAAAGCTGAATTTTCAGCAGTCATTACTCCAGTCTTCAAGTGTCACATGATCCTTCAGAAATCATTCTAATATGCTGATTTGGTGCTCAAGAAACCTTTATTATTATCAGTGCTGAAAACAGTTGTACTACCTATTTTTTTAAGGATACTTTGATGATCAGAACAGCATTTATTTGAAATAAAATCTTATAATTAAATGCATCCTTGCTGTAAAACAACAATTTATTATATAAATAAATAATCTTACTTCTAATAATCTTATAAAAATAGAGTAATAAATTAAACATTTCAGGCTGGTCTAGCTAATCAAGTCACAAATATTTGTGTAGTACTTTTCACAATACATATGTTTTTTTAAATTAGTTTTCCAGAAAGGTCAAAATCTGTCTCTATAACAGGGGTGTCCAGTCCTGCTCCTGGAGGGCCAACGTCCTGCGGAGTTTAGCTCCAACCAGCTTCAACACACTTGCCTGGAAATTTCTAGGGAGTCTGAAGACCTTGATTACCTGGTTCAGGTGTGTTTCATAAGGGCTAAAGCTAATCTTTGCAGGACAGTGGCCTTCCAGAGACAGGTTTGAACACCCCTCTACAAAGTCTTCGGTCTATGCTACAGTTCACTATTGCACTCCTTGTGGCAACATTGATAACGCAACAAATTGCACTTCCTCCCTTTTCAGAATGCAACAATATATGGAAATGAGTTTGCATGGCTAGAAGGTTCACCCTGTGCCACTAGCAAAATTTTGAGTGTCATCCAGAACAGACAAGATTAACCCAGCACAACAGAGGTGTTCTCAACGCAACAGGGAGCAGACAATGGTCCCTGTGCTTACCATTAGCAATGCAGGGGTGAAAGTTTGCTTTTAGCAATCCTCTGCACTTTCCCTGCCTTAGTTTACCCTTAGGTGAGAGACTGGGGAGATTTCACTACTTTACCAGGACAGCCTGTGAATTAGCAACAATATAAGAGCCTCTATAGAGACCGTAATGAGGAGTGCTAAGTGCATTCATGTCGTGTTGCTAGGAAAGTTGACAGAGAAAGCTCTGAATTGCAGACTAGAACACACATGCAGGATGGGGCTGCCTTAGGGAATAGCAGAAAGTCGATACACATTCACAAAACCAGGTGTCCTTCAGCCAATGACGGTGGCACTGGCTGACCTGGTTAACCCCTCTGCCTGGCTGGGACGACTCCTAACTGAATACACTGAAACCTCCATCAGCTAGATCCAATCAAATGTGTTACTAGGAACCGCTGATGATGTTACAGATTCTGTGGTGCGAGGTCAAATGGAGTTTGAGGTTATACATGCATGTATTTGTAGTGGTTTAAATGGGTTTCTCAGTGTGTGGTCAGTGTGGTCTCTTGATTGAGAGAAAAAGAGAGGTTACAAACACAGATCAGCAAGTACATGACAAACTATTTCCTCCTTTGAGAAGCCCTGTCTTGAAATGGACATTGTGTGTTGAGATTCAGAACAGTGGTTCAGCATTTCTGATATGCTGTCTGTTCTTCAAACGAAAGGCTGTCAGTACAGACCACTTACTCTGTCATATCCAAGCAAATCCACCCCTGTACGGTGAGTCTAGAACATCAAATGCCAGTGGATTTATTCTCCCACCCCCTCAATGTTGAGGTCCTTCAGTCATTACTCTGGATTAGCCTTTAAACGCACATACAATCTCCGTTCCCTTGCCTATGATGTTCTTCCTCTGCGCTCGTACTGCAGATACCACATCCGAAACATCTGACAAGGATTACATTTTCTATTAAGAGTTCAAAGCTTGTCTTGACAATGTTGGAAATAAATAATGTGCCATCTCATTTAGCACATGCTCTCTATCGTTTATATTCTGCAAAGGACAGAACTATCAGATAAAAGTGAATGAAAGTGATTTTCCAATGGGCTTCCAAAGGCAACTGGATGTTTCATTTTTTATGAAAGCATCTTTGCAGCAATAAAACGCTTGTCTTTTCTTATTTAGCCGACACTTAGATCAAGTAGTATAGTTTAATAATGCATAAATGTACAAAAGCAAGGACATAAATGGAAAGCTCGAGCATTTTCTGAAAGCACATTGAAATCAAAGAATCAAATGAGACCGTGCTTATTAGCATGTTTTTCATTTGTCAGAAATGTTTTAACGGCCAAGAGGTCCTTCAGTCATTACTCTGGATTAGCCTTTAAACGCACATACAATCTCCGTTCCCTTGCCTATGATGTTCTTCCTCTGCGCTCGTACTGCAGATACCACATCCGAAACATCTGACAAGGATTAAATTTTCTATTAAGAGTTCAAAGCTTGTCTTGACAATGTTGGAAATAAATAATGTGCCATCTCATTTAGCACATGCTCTCTATCGTTTATATTCTGCAAAGGACAGAACTATCAGATAAAAGTGAATGAAAGTGATTTTCCAATGGGCTTCCAAAGGCAACTGGATTTTTCATTTTTTATGAAAGCATCTTTGCAGCAATAAAACGCTTGTCTTTTCTTATTTAGCCGACACTTAGATCAAGTAGTATAGTTTAATAATGCATAAATGTACAAAAGCAAGGACATAAATGGAAAGCTCGAGCATTTTCTGAAAGCACATTGAAATCAAAGAATCAAATGAGACCGTGCTTATTAGCATGTTTTTCATTTGTCAGAAATGTTTTAACGGCCAAATTCAATAAAGAAATAAGGCAAATTAGATAATGCCGCAAATAAGTGACAGTTTGCAATCTGATCACAAATTGTGATTAAGTAAATGTATAAATGGATGCAAGAACAAAAATGTGGAGATAAAAATAATCTTCACTGGGTATAAAGCGGTGATAAATCACTCAGACAATAAACAGATAATAAACAATTTATGATAAATATTGCAAATAATTAAAAAATGAATATTTTAAGCCATCAACCAACCCATCAGTTTTTTTGTCCATGTCACTGAAGTACACTTTTACCACGTCATTTGTATCCAGTGATATGTGCAGTGTAAAAAAAAAAAATTAATTAATGTCATGTCCCTGAGTGTTTTAAATATTCAGGCATTTTCTTATCTAATTTAGTCAAGGCTGTTGGCATTCTGTGAGCCGACGATCCCAGAACATTTTACACATTCAGTCAAGACACAAACAGACCCCTGTGAAATATATTAACTGGTGACAGTTGAATAAAAACAACGAATATTGTTTTGAGCAGGAACAACTAACGCAGATTCACTGATGTGTGTTGGGAAACCAGAGATAGCATGAGAGAGAGAGAAGAGACAAATTTGGGGAATTAAAAAGAACTAGAAAAGAGGAAGAAGTGGGATATGGTAAGTGATTGGTATTAGGAAGGAAAGAGGGAAATGAAATAAGACATTGAAAGGCAGGAGTAGAAATCAAGCATATGACAGAGGAGGAGACATAGATGAAGACAAAAGGACATAAGCAGAGAGTGAGAATGTGTGTGTGCGCTCTGGTCTATTTGTAGTACAGATAAGAGCTGCAGCAGGGTGTGAGCTGAGACAGTTGGCAGCACAGTATGGTAGGGTAGGCAAAGGGCTGATCTGTGCGTTCATGTGTGTATTTAGGTAGTTGGCAGGGAAGTTAGATGGGCCAGAGGAGCATATCCCTGATCGTTCGCTGCAGTCAAACCAAACCAGTCACATTGGGCCATTGGCTTCACTGCACTTCCACAGCCGAATTAAAGGGTTAGTTCAGCCAAACATGAAGATTTTACTCACATTCATGTTATTCTAAACCCATGTAATTTTCAACTGTAAATGACCCGACAATGTTTGTATTGATTATGCATTTCGCATGGAATTGTTTTCATTCAGAATTTTATTTTGACATAGTTGTAACAAACACACACAATGTGATTGTATAAACTGCTTCCCATTGTCAGGGTGTGCGTGCGTTATGAAGAGCGCAGACTGTAATCATGTTTTGGTGTCCCCTTTTTTATTATTGTGTATTGTGCATCACATTTAAAGGGTTATTAGGTAAATTATTTCACATTTTTCACTTAGTAATTGTATGATGTAAATTGTTTTACTGTCGTATTGGTTATTATATTGGTTTTATTATTTGATAATGGTCTCATACAGGGTTTCTCTGTTTTTCTGTTACTCTTACAGCATTTTACTTGAGTGTCAAAGTATTAAACTCTTTTGGATACATCAGTTAAGCAGTACTAACCAATTATTCAACATGTTTCCCTCCACCACTAACTCTAAATCCTGCTAAAAAGTAACACTTTACTTGAAACCTTCATGCATAATGCATTATAAAAGTACTTTATAATGCATTGTATGATATGAATATTTGTAAACAGTTATTATAAATTATACTACTTATCTACTCATTGTTAAATATTTACAAAATATATACATTAAAAAACACAGCAAACAACCAATTTTAGATGTAACAAGGAATCTGCATATATTGTAATCCATTTGAACTTTGGCTACAATTATTTATTTATAATTCATTATATATAAAGGCTTCAAGTAAAGTGTTACCAAAAAAAACAACCTTAAACCAGTCTAATCTGGACTCCCAAGCCAGTCTTTTGGCTAGTCTTAAATGAATTTGGCACACTTTTATCCAGCTAAACACCTGCTTGACCAGGCTGGAAGACCACAAAACAAGTATAGGCTGGTTAAAACCAGTTTTTTTTTTCAGTAGAGAAATGACAGAAATGTTGTTTTTGTGTGACTTCAAATGTGTGTGAGTGTGACAAAAGCCTGAAGTACTACTGCGCCTAATTCTAAACCCCACGGATATAACTGTGTGTAAGTATGAGCAAGCATTTTAACATGTTTGAGGACAAGTCCATGTCTGTGTTTCCTGAGCGTGTAATGTGCACTCCGTCCAGGCCAGAATGAGACTGATCCGTGCTGGCAGCCACCTCGAGCCCTCCAGACCTTATAGGTTGAGCTTTCATTCTTCTAGTGGAAAGCAGCTGAACCCTGTCCACCCCTCTGAATGCTATCTCTCACTCTATCTCACTTTTTATAACCCTCTCTCTCTTTCTCACACCCCTCTCACTTCCTCCCAGGCTGTTGCTAAGGCCCTGCTGTTTGGAACACTGTGCCCATGCAAAGGGGATCAATATGCCAATCAGAGCTCAGGGGAGTGAGTAGAAGTGGCTGCTGGGAGAATATCAGAGCATAAGTGAGGCGTGATCACTGTCCGTGTGAGGCTGAACTCGTACCTGCTGGCAAAATGCTCGATCCGGCTGTGTGTGTCCGCATGAGGCAGCCTGGGAGATGAGCAGGGCCTGTCAAAAACAAGAACACACACATCTGTTAGCAAAGTAGCTTGTTACTGTATGTATGAATGCCTAGTTTTCTGGTCTTAACCGGTCTATGAAGTTGGTCAGATCCTTTTGCTTGATTTAGAGGGGTTTTGGATGCTTTCAGCTAATCAGGATGGGAAAACAGATGGATGACCTGTTAAACCAGCTGGAGACCACCTTGGCAAGGCTGGGAAATCAGCTTAATCCAGTAAAGACCAGCAAACCACCTAGGTTTTTATCTTTATCTCAACTACATTTTTATGGTTTTAAGGATGCTTAGATATTTTTTATAAGAAAGCAAGACAAAAATAAGATGGTCTAAGATGGTTTGTGGGTCTTAGCTGGTCTCCCATGCTAGCCAGGATGATCCAATTGGGTTCCTGTTTTGGGAGTTTAAAGCTAGTCAGGATGGGAACCACCTGACGACCACCTTGGTGAGGCTGCTAAAATCAACAAATTACCTAGCTGGTTAACCTGAGCAGCCAGCTGGTCTCCCAGTCTGACGACCTGAAATGTGACTAAAACTCCTTCAAAACCAGTCAACAGACCAGCTAATGCCATCAAGGCATCTTAAGCTGGTTTAAAATGTTTATTTTCTACAGGGAAGAAAATAATTGCTTGCAGTGCACTTTGTTCAGTCCCTCAGTTCTCCACTTATAAACCTTCAAAAAGAGCACAACGGCGCTTAGGTGTGATTCTCATCAGCAGAGACAGGAAGTCAGACTCACGTCTCAGAGCTCTCCACCTCCAATACTGATTGAACAGGCAGGTATCCCCTCTGAGGGTGTTTACTAAAATACTGCTTCGAGCGGAACTTGTTCTTTAGCGTCTTTGCGAAGTCCCGCATCTTCTCGCCTGAGGTCGTCTGGAATGATTCAGAAAGAGAGCCAGCGGAGAGAAAAATGAAAGAACATGAGCGATAAATACACAACACATCCCCTTAGTAACATGCCTCCGACACACAGCCAGTACATCAGTTCCTCCACAGAACATTCGTCTTCCTCCCATCTCAATCTATCATCTTTTGAGCAGCCACAGAATGTCGGTGCACAATAAAGACGCCCACCTATAAAACTCAGACTGGAGCATGGGAAAACCATTAAGCAAATAGCCTTGTGCTGTATTTCACTGCAGGAGATCAATTTGGTTCAATTCATATTCATTTTGTGTAGTGCCTTGTACAATAGTGATTGAATCTGAAACCTTTGAGCAAGCAAAAAGCTGCCAGTTGGCAAGGAAAAAACCTCTGCAAGTAACAAAGCATATGTACCGGGGTGTAGTACTCCATGATGGGGTAGTGTAGTTTCTTGCCCTTGGTAGTTCTGCCTGTCAGAAAACACGTCTGGCAGATGTCCACATTGAACTGTTTCAGACTTCGGTATCTGAAACAGGCAGAGACACATTTTACATCCAATTATTGAGGTGTTAATTTTAGGATTATGAATAGATTAAAACAATGAACCTCAACCACCCTGCTGATAATAACTGCTATATTTAAAACTAGCAGGGTGCTTTATGCTGGATAGTGATGGTTTAGAATAGGTCTAAATGGTGGGATATTATAGCCACTTGTGTTCACCAGCAAAACTTGGCGGTTTCTACTGAAGTAGATCAATGAAGGGTGGGGACACCTGAAAACCAGCATACAAAACACAATATTACCTACTGTACTCTACAGTACCATTCAGAGGTTTGGGTTTGGTAAAATACTTTAATGTTTTTAAAAATAAGCATCTCATCCTCACCAAGGGTGCATTTATTTGATCAAAAATACAGTAAAATATTATTACAATTTTAAAAAACTGTTTTAATATATTTTAAAATGTACTTTATTCCTGTGATGGCAAAGCTTAATTTTCAGCAGACTTCATTCCAGTCTTCAGTATCACATGATCCTTCAGAAATTATTCTAATATGCTGATTTGCTGCTCAAGAAACATTTCTTATTATTATAAATGTTGAAAACAGTTGGGCTGATTAATATTTTTGTGGAAATGGTAATACTTTTTTTAAGTAAAAAGTCTTTACTGTCACATTTGATCAATTTACAATATTAGTATTAATTTCTTTTAAAAAAATCTTACTGACCCCAAATTTTTGAACGATAGTATACATAATGTATTCTGGTTAATAAGCAGCAGGGTAATCCTACTCTCTTTTTTTGTGCCTAATTTGACCTCTTTTAAGCATACAGTTTTAATGCCTTCAGTTTCCCTTTGAAGGAAAAAAACAACAAGAGACAAAAAAAATATGATTAAAACTAAATATAAAAAAATAAATAATAAATGAAAATATGGAACAGATTTTTGCCAAATTAAAAAATAAAATGAATATAAATTTAACAGTATTCACATATTCATTTAAGCTCAGCTCAACCCATGTACAAACCCGATTCCAAAAAAGTTGGGACACTGTACAAATTGTGAATAAAAACAGAATGCAATGACGTGGAAGTTTCAAATTTCAATATTTCTGTAGTTCTTAGCTTTAATGCTATTACATCAAACCCTTTGATCAGCTAAAAGAAGATTTTTGAATAATTTATTTTGAGTAGTTAAAAAACAAAGACAGAGAGATCTGTGCCGTCTTTCTCCAAAAAACTACTCAGCGCTGCAGCAGCTCACCTGAAGCCCTTGATAGGGCACTGTTTACAGATGTAGCAGCGTGCCTGGTGCTTGGCTGTCTCGGCCACGGTCACCCGGTGCAAAACAGGAAGCCACACCACCGACTGAGGCTCTAGGCCCATCCACTCCAGAAAGTGAGACACCTCAATTGCTGACTTACCTGGAGCCTAGAGGTAGACACAGAAAATACACATGAGAAAGATAAAAATCAAACAGCAACAAGTAGCATGAATCCAGATACCCAGAAGAAATATTGTTCCATTATGCATGCCCAATTAAGCACCAAAACAACTTCTGGTAGATGATGGGCACAAGCACCCTATCAGAGCATGTCCCTTAAAAGTACTCATGTAATAGAGGGCAATCACAGCAAAGGATACAATCTCAAAGAGGTGGCCCCTTGTTATAGTGACACAGTGGGAAATGAATGACAAGCAATAACTTTAATAATAGAGGATGACATAAAAATCTGGAAAGGGCTAAATTCTCATTAAATATGCATCGAAGATGCATTAAAAGGTTGATTTCCTTTGGGCGCACTCTGAAGCTTGGGCAGAGCTTTATAATTAACATGAGTATCTCTAGTGTGGGCAAGGCAGTGTGGCTGTGTGTCTTTAGCAGTGTTTGTGGTCTGGGACTGAGACTAAAATGTGAAGTGTGGAGTTGAGAGGAAGACTCCAGAAGTTTCACTGAAACAACAAAAGAGGATCTTCTAAACAGTGCACACCACAGGGACAGCCGAGAGTTTCCCATGAGATGGTCCATAACTTCAAACAAAGTGAACCAGTCTTTTCATCTAGACGCACGCTGAAACACACGCCGACCAGCATGATACAGTCATTCTCGGTCTGTCATGTTTAATGCAGCCAGTGAAAATAAATGTGTAACTGGAACGCACTGATTGCCATTTCTTCCACAATTATAAATGCGACATGAAAATAAGTGAAGTTTAATTATGTGTGCTTGAAATTGCACACTTGCTCTTGATTGGATCAGGATTTAATTAAGGGCTGGCAGACCTAAGAATGAATGGTTTAAGGCCATTCTACAGGAAACCTGTGCCCTACACCAATTTCATAATTAGGCCATCAGCAGAATGAAATGCCAGAAGGTTACACTCCACTGCGATGTCCCTGCATTTTCTGAATTACAGCCTTATATGTGTAAAGATAGATGAGATGGTGTCAGCAGGCATTTCACCTTCATTATCCTTAATTAGCCTAGACTATAAAGTCCGAATCACACTCTATGCAAGTACTGCATATGATCCCAAACTCTTTGGAAAGCTGATTAATATTTTGGAATATTTAAAATATTAATCAGCATGACTGCTTTAAACTGTGATAATAATTAATAGCACCAAGTCAGCATATTAGCAGAATCGTCTCTGAAGGATCATGTGTCACTGAAGACTGGCTGAAAATTCAGTTTTGCCATCACAGGAATAAATATATATATATATATATATATATATACCTGTATATATATATATATATATATATATATAAAAATAGAACAGAGTGTGC